TATATATATATATATATATATATATATACACACATATAAGCTATATATTATATAAGGCAATATATATATATACATACTATACATACTATATATACTATATATATTTATATACCTATATATAAGCAATTTATATTAGTATATACATATATAGTTTACAAGAAATTGCCTTAGATAAAAAAAAATTTAAAAAAATAGCCCGTAACGAAAAAGCCCGTTTAGGCCCGCGGGCCCGGCCCATTTAGCACGGGACCATGTGGGCTTAGGACCGCAGTGGGCCGGTTCCACTCATTTGGCCCGTTAGGCCCAGGACCGCCTAAGCCCGGCCCGCCTAAGCCCCGCCCGTTTGGCCCATTTAGGCCCGGGCCCGGACCACAATACAGCATTAGGTTAGCAACTAGTGTTTATCATAAAAATTAATCAGTAGTTTAGCAACTCATCTCATTGCTATTACATTTCTCTGTCATAAACGTATGGCATCTATCCACTTATTGATCATATTTATTCCATATGGTGTTTACATTTCAAGTTTGTTCCTTCTATAATGGGAGTTCTCTGCGCTATGATCCAGCACCTGGAGCTGTGGGGTTATTTGTTCTATAAGGCATTTGTTCTTTGCATATTAGATAATATAAAAAGATAAAAGTTTAATTTATATGCATTGACAGTGTAATTATATTTTATATTATTAGGTCATTCAGAAAATATCCACAAATAAATTGTAATCTTGAAAGTGAAGTAGCTAGAAATGAACTAATAGTGTAAAATTCTTTCACCATTACTGAATATTAGTTAAACAAGATAAAAAAATGCACACATACGTAGAAACAATTTTGACATAAAGTTCAAAGAATACAAAAGCACAAATACATAGTTTTGTTGACAATAACAAATTTCAACAAATAAAGCTTTCAAATAACTTCTGCTTCTATCCTAATAGATACTATATATCTGTTGAAAGAATCTTGTCGAAATACTTGCCTAATTAATCAAATTTCAAGAATAGTTAAAAATTACTATAAATTATCAATCAAACTTTTAAAGAAACAGTTATCAAATTAAACGTCATAATTATAGTCATAATCTGGCCATTTAATGGGACAATCATATTTGCTTGCTTTCTCTATATTTAAAGATGAAAGATTTTTGTTCCTCAAGCCATATTCATTCCCTTTTTATTCAACCATAACCAGAGCTGGAAAGTATCAATTCCTATGCTCAAATCTTGTCATCGAAGTGAATGGAGGAATTAACTTGAGAAATGAGTAATTGTTGACTTTTTACTGCAAAACAACCTTAATTATAAATTATTTTTAAAGAGCAATAGACTCAAGTAGTATCATAGTTAAAAGATGAAAATAAACAATCAAAATTTTAAATTAATCTTCATAGAATGCGGTAAACGAAGTTAAAAACAATAAAGTCACCTTGAATCAAAATATCCTCCTAAAATTACATTTTCTTAACAACTTCGATCGATAGTAAGTTCAATTAGAACGAAAAGAAGTCTTTAGACATATAACACAAGTAGTGATAATATAATATGAAAAAAGAAAATTTAAAATAGGACATACCTTCACTCAATTCTAATCAACCTAAACTTTGTAATCTTTCTTTCCTTAATTCACAAAAAGAAAGTTTTATCATTTATTCTATTGAACCGTAAAGAATAATTTAAACGAACCATAGATGAATAGTTGTAACAAAAATAGGAAGAAAGATTCAAGTATACTATACATTATGCTTACTACAGGCCGAAAGATTCATATCCACACCAAAAATACACAAGTAAATTGACACCAACGAAATAACAAACATATGAAGAATTAATTAACGTAATAAAAAAGAGGGTAGCAATTGTATTTCATCAAGCTCGATCTATAGCAATTCTAGTTAATGGTTCTACCACTACTTTTTTTGAACCTAGCAAAGGAATTAGGCAAGGTGACCCTCTATCACCC